CCACAAGTCATGAGGTGGGAACGTTACCTCTAGACTACAGAGGCCACTGCTACACTGTCTTAGGCCGTGTTAAAATCACACACTGTAGTCCTCTTTTTTAAAGCTAAAACCAGACAAAATCCTTTAAAGTTTCTATTATACCCACGTTATTTTGGTGCATATTATCTAATCTCACATGGGGTGTCATCCATTTTCATAAATGTATGTCTGTCCAGGGTGTTTTGTGTGGCAGCTTGCCCCTCACGTTCATAGCCTACTTTTCAGTTATCACTGCCATATGCCCCTGGTATGTGTGTTTCCTCCACAGCATGTGGTGTTGCCTTTACTAGTCAGTGTGGCAGTTTTAACATAATTTAATAAAATAAAATAATTGAAACATAGCAAGACACCTGAAGATGGCCATTTGGGGCCGAAACATGTAGTGTCAAGGTGTATAATGTTAAACTAAAAATTGAGTGGTGAATGGAAGAGTGTTGCAATATTGACGGACGATAAATAATGGATGTTAAGTTGAACAATTGCAACAGGATGCTGAAATACAGATTCATGTTCTCAAGCTTAATTAAACAGATACAAGGTTGTTTCTTGCCAAAATAATTACTGATCGGAGATAACTGATAAATGATTTCATCAATTCAGTTCGACAGTCTTGTAGTAACATCATACTTTTACGGACGATAAATACATCACATTCCAGAAGATAAACATTCCAGAAGATAACCACTGCTGTGAGAATCTCAAATCTCAAAACTGGGATAATACTGACTTGCTAGCGGGCCACATTATGTCTATGTTAACTTCCATTCAGCACTAAACATTAAATATTAGTTTGCAACCACGACATGCATAGTGTCACAGTTTGGGAAGTCACTTACCTAAATGCATGACTTGAGCCAGTTAGTGGGTTTGGTTAGTTGTGGGTTTTATTTTTTCCCTGCAGAACTGGTTGCTTGGTAATTATTTGGGTCTGTGTATTCATCGTACTCATCCTCCCCTTCGTCATAATCAGCTTCTGCAGGGGATTCAAGGGTTCCAGGCAGGAATTGTGATGGGGTTGACGTTGTAAGTGCAGGAGAATATTCCTGAACAGGCACAAGGAAGATACAAGCAAAGCACAAAATTAATATTGTTAATTAAGCTATTTGTTACTGTTGAAATAAGCAAATGATTGTGTATTTAAGTTATATTTCTTATTATTACTACACACCCAAAGGCTAGTTTTCTGTATATGTTATCTAATTCCACAGAGCAGAATCCTTCTTGAGAAGCTGAGAGTTGATAACTATGTAAAATCCTCTCCTTTTATGGATCCTAAGGGTTTATTATAATCCATTCCCTTCCTTTTGAAGCTTGGCCTTCACAGGGAGATACAACAGCCAATTGAATTAGGGGGTTAGTGGTAGCCTTCAATCTAGGCCCTCAATTGTTTCCTGGCAGTGGTAGGAGATGTTTCTGTCCTGAGCAGTTTAGTGCAGTGCAGTATTGTCATGTTGTACTGTTTAGTCATGGAAAATGAGCAAGTTGAAGAGAAAGCTAGCTTATCTTTTAACCGGTTTCTAAGGTCACTTGACATCACATGTCATTTCAGCTCTGTACCATGTGACCCAATTGGAACTGGCACAGCCCACACTCCCCACCCTGTTGCATAAAGTTCTTCTGATAGGGTTTCTTCCAAGCTTCATAAGAAAAGGAAGAGCTAGCCCACTGAACCCTATTATGAGCAACATGAATCCAGTCCACAACTTCACAATCTGTTTCTTTCATGTTCACTTTTATATTAACTTCCCAGCTATTTGGTTCATTAACAGCTTTTTCCTTTTAAGTTTTCCAACTAACATTTTCTAGCCTCCCCTTGCATGATATATGTTCCCCTCATCTCATGTTCCTTGACTTCAGCACCCTAATAATATTTGATGAAGAACACAAATTATGAAGCTCCTTGCTTTATTTCACTATCCTGTTACTTCTTCTCCCTTAGGTCTGAGTAGTACTCCCTGCACTTTGTTCTCAGACACCCTCAATCTGCTGTTTTTTCTGTAAGGACCCATTTATATAAGACAATAGATAAATCTATAATTTTTTATGTTTTAATCTTCAGACTTTCAGATAGGGGATGGAAATATATATTCTATGTAAACTGTAGCAAGAATCTGCCAAAATATCTTAAGTTTACCACATCTGTGGATGTCAAAAACTGGTGCATAATTTTTGCACAGTTGTTCCTTTATTGGCATCATGTTTTCGTGTTAATATCTAACTAGACCATATTGATCAAAGCAATCCACTGTCAAACTCTAAGAGATATTTCTGAGCAGCTCAAAGAGATATTTCTGAGCAGACTCATTTAACAACAAATTTAATTTACAGAAAATAATACAAAAAATATGTATTTATACATACTACATGCCATTTGAACATATATCAATTTTCAGAAGGAAGCAAGCAGCCAACCCTTTTTCTTCACTGCATGTGTATGTAAGAATCACATTTCCAATTTAACCCTTCAACACAGACATTTAAATACTACACTCTGTGCTCTACTGAGGTAGCATATTTTGTACGTTCCAGTTCTCTGATCATCGCCATAATTTACACTGTCACTGCTCCATATTGTGTTCCAGGGGTTACTAATTGTTGTGAAGTTGTCATCAGAATCACTATCATCACATGAACTACTTTGCGCCATAGTGACATTATCCAGCACTTCATTTCCAATGTCAGTAATTTTGAAATCCATAAATGTGCTTCCAGCTAAAGGCCCAGCCATGATGATTGTAATATCAAATATTCAGATTAGAGTCTCAGGTCATTAGTTGCATGATAACTAAGGTCACTGATTCATAAACAAAAAGTTCATTTATTTCACTATACCTTGTTGCAACCATCACCACAATACAATATTTCTTTCCTTGGTTAGAGGACAGAGCAATTAAGTTTGCAGTGGACCATGTGGTACATGAAACCACAAGTAGAGCATTTAAATACCCAATGTATGATGTAAGTAAAGCCATGCTGAAGTGTTAAAGTTGTTTTGTTTGAAGCTTGTACTGTTGCAACAACATTATGAACAGTGGTATGTTGCTAATGGAGGAAATATTCAGCTACAATGTAAACGTGTAACGTATCAGATTTTCAGGACTATAGTAAAAATGTGGCAATGTTTAAAAATTTGGCAACAGCAGTAACAAATCAAAATTTGATTCATGAAGAAATTTAGAGCAGTCTGAATTTGCATAATTCTTGCTACCATTCAGTTCAGGAACTTTTTGTCTTTTTGTCTGCTGCCTAAAAACGTAAAAATTAAAATACACAAAACTATAATTTTGTCTGTTGTTCTGTATGGGTGTAAATTTTGGTCTCTGACATTAAAGGAAGAATATAAGACTGAGGGTGTTTGAGGAGAGTATATCTGGACCGAAGAGGGAGGAAGTGACAGGAGGTTGGAGAAAACTGCATAACAAGGAGCTTAATAACTTGTACTCTGCCAAATATAATTTAGATTGGTCAAGTCAAGAAGGATGAGATGGTAGGGCATGTAGCACTCATGAGCAATAAGAAGACATAAAGGATTTTGGTGGGAAAGTTAGAAGGAAAGAGACCACTAGGAAGACACAGATGTAGGTGGGAGAATAATATTAAATTGGATCTTGGAGAAATAGGATGGGACGGTATGGACGGATTCATCTGGCTCAGGATAGGGACCGGTGGAGGGCTCCTGTGAACACGGCAATGAACCTCTGGGTTCCACAAACTGTTGGGAAGTGCTTAAGTAGCTGAGCAACTGGTGGCTACTCAAGAAGGACTCAGCTGCATGGAGTTAGTTAGTAATAGTAGACAGATAATAGTAGATGGCTATAAATAAATAAATATGGATTAATAAACACATCAGCTTAAATATATGACCAATAGTGCTCCTGCCCAACATCTGGCTTATGCCTACTATGCTGTGTACCCTGCCTTTGGGATATGAGTAATAGTATTTGTAGTATGTAGATTCTCCCAGATCTATGTTATGTTTTATGCTTACTTACCTATCATATTTTGCATTGCATTGTACCCTGATCCAGAAGAATTCAGTCCACATCCTCCCCCCATACTTTTAAAGATTCGTTCAATTTTATCATCATATCTATATCAAGAGATCTCTTCCCTTCATATTCTCTGTCTAAAATTCTGTATACATATTTTATCGCTCCCATGCATGCTAAATTCTGTACCATATCCTCCTTGGTGTGATCATTATAACAATGTTTGGTGAAGAGTGCAAATTATGAAGCTCCTCATTGTGTGAGTATCCCAGCCTCCTGTCACATCCTCTCTCTTCTGTCCAGATCTCCTCAGCACCCTGCTTTGAAATACCCTTGGTCTATGCTCTTCCATTAATGTGAGAGACCAATTTTCACACCTACATAGAACTACAGGTAAAGGTGAGGCTTTGTACGTTATATTTTCTGCATAAATCTTATTTGCATTTAGAAAAAAGAAATGTTATAAAAAATCTGAGGATGTACACATAACTGTGTCATATATGCCTTCTGTAGTCTGAATATTACAGTCACTAATGGATAGAAAGTTTGTGGAAACTAAACAGTTTATTTTTACTTTTGTTCAAACTTTAAGTAAATCATACTCAATCTCTGCATCACATTATAGTGCTTGCTATCAAAGGCATATTACAGTAACAGATCCCACCATTTTCGGCAAAAAATTAAACTACTCATATATCTTTGGCCACAGGAAGAATTAAGTTTAAATATGAAGAAAAAGCAATATGTAACAGATTTTTTTTATTAATTTTAGGTATCTGAGGCAATATGCTACAAGCTGGAAGGTTGCGGGTTCAAGTTCTGATGAGGTCATTGGATTTTTTCAATTGACCTAATCCTTCCACCCGCACTATGGCCCTGGGGTTGAATCAGCCTCTAAAAGAAATGAGTACCAGGAATCTTCCTGGGGGGTAAAGGGCTGCCAGCGCATAAGGCTGACAACTTTACCACCATTTTTGAGCCAATTGTCTAGATAATGTGGGACCCTCAACATCTCACACCCCTATGGGCCTTCACGGCCTGTTACAGGGATAGCTTTACCTTTACCTATATACAGGTTTCCTACCATGAATAAAGAATCTAATAATGAAAGTGAATGTGATTCCATACTACATCCCCATGCAGATGACCTATGTAAAATGACACGCCTGTGTGTATGAAAAACAAATTTCCCTTCATCTACTGACAAGTCACAGTACTTTTCATGAACCTACATAAAGTAGGATACTGGATATGTGCAACTGTGTAGTTTCAACTAAAGCTTCTAAGTTGTTCAGAATTTACAATTTCTTTGCCTTATTGTATGCTTCAAAGCTTCCTCGTGTAAAATCTTCAGGATTTAGAGGGTGTTTCATCTGTATGCATTCATGTATTGCCCTTCCTCTTAGAGAAGAATTATGAGAAGAAACTTGTTATACATACCTTTGGCGGTCTCCAGCCACAGCCTGGAAGAGGTAAGCCATCAGGGCCAAGAGGACATGGTGCATCAAGTCCAGGTACTCCTTGATCACCTTTGTCTCCCTTGTCTCCTTTCCTCCCCCTTCTTCCAATAGGCCCCTGGACAAACATGTATGCAAAAAGTGAATTACCTTATTTACTATGGGAACAAGGAAGGGAATTTCTGTTAAGTTCAGGTTATTAAAGGATATTTTTCTGACTAGAACTTACAGCTTCTCCTTTTGCTCCTTTTTCACCTTTTGGACCCTATAAGATAATAAACAATAATATTTGAATATGGTAACACAACAGAAAAATATATATACTTATAACATTCTGTAGTGTTTTTTTTTTGCATTGCAGAATTTTAGTTAGAGTAATAATACTAAGATGCACTTTAATATATATAGTCACATTCAGTAATGTCTTCCATAGACCTCTAGAAATTATTTACTATATTTCTTTGCATATGCTGTATAGAACACTTGAAGTCTGAATGTATGCAATATTATGTCCTTCAGGAACCTGAAGTAAGTGACAGGTTAGGATAGATTATTTTATACTCAAGACATGCAAACATAACGCTGTATTCCATGCACTTTTAATGTTTGAAATATTTTAAATTCTTCAACAAAAAAGGAAGAAGCCATAAGCAAGCATTTAATATTTAAAGACTAGGAAGTGAATAAGCACAGAAGAATTGGTAATGAGTATGAAAGCTGGGGTACCTCTGTACCGGGAATTCCATCAGTTCCCTAAAATAACCAGAAAGGAGTATTAATATTGGTTTGGTCACAAATTAAAAATCGCTATATTTTAATTTATTAAATAAATGATAAATAATGTAATTACAGTTCCCAGGAATTAACGTTCTTAAAATAAAAAAAAAACAAATATATATTCTCATAGATCTCTTTTAATATTACAGCCTATATGAGATTGGACTGCACTGGCAGTAGTTTTTTGTACTTCAAAATAAATTAATCCCTGGATACTTGAAACAAATCATAATGAAGCAATATGGATAGATTGACTGCCTGACTGATACTGTGAATGGCAACTAAACAGGTAACTACAGCAATGGGATAGCATTAAGGATTATTCAGAACAGAATGAAAATTATTGTCTGAAATTTTTAAATTGCTTACTCCTGTCAAAAAGTAATGAACATAAAAGAAGTGAATAGGCAATAATTTAAGAGCCTTTTCCTGAATTATAAAGTGGGGGGGGGGATTTCTTTACTAAGGAGAAGTCAAAACTTTTGGTAGGTCTGATGACAATTTGCTCAGAATGCAAGTTTCTAAAATGTCGCTGTGTATGTATAAAATAATCTTGCGCTTATTCAAGCATTCTCTGTGTCTGTAATATATACTTCATTCCTTGCTTAGCAGGTAAGATCAGTGGTTATTTCTTCCTTTAAAAATGAAAACTGATACTATAGTATGACTTCATTAATTTGGACTAATTGGGAGCTAACCTGTGTCTAAATCAGTGAAAGTCCAAATTATAGAAGTGCTACTGAAAATATGTTCAGGAAAGTTACATAATGATCTTTTAGGGAACACACCTTAATTTTTAAACTTAGATTGCATATCATAAAATAAATTTACTTGTCACAAAATGTAAAAATGTAAGTTTTGTCATCAGGCTTAAAAAAGTTTTACATTGCAGCAATGTGATCATCAAGGTTGTAATGCTAAAAAAATTGTCTGAATTATCGCGAATTCAGAATTAGTTAAGTCCAATTAGTGAGGTTTAATTGTAATTGTAACTGGAATGAAGTTACAGCACAAATTCCTCCATGAATTCTTGAGTTCAGTAATGCAGAAACAAAGTGTACTGATTGTACTAAAACCAATTTAGGTTTGTTTTGCGAAATTATTTGCAAAGAAACTCATTTTACTCTATTGACGAATTTGTCAAGCATGCAAGGGGCTCAAATGTTAAGAATGATTAACTGGTCTGTGTTCTTGTATCATATGTTGCTGAGACTCACATGATGTGCGGTGGTATGTATTTTGTAATATGTTACAATCAAACTGTATTGATGATATGGCTGGCCAATGTACGTGTAATGGTAGGGAGTGCAATTGCACAGCATAGAGTTGTTATGGTTAGAAAGAACGTGACTGTGGTGTTTCCACAGCCCATGTGGGATGTCTTGACAACTTGCGCTGTCTGCGTGAGGCCTGATTGTTTACTAAATTGGACCAAGGACGTATGATGTGTGGTCATCATGAATTTGTAATGTATGACATGTTCTATATCTAGCCCTTTGGGGAGGTGATTGGATCAATGTAAATGAAAATGTAAATGTAAATGGTGTAAGACATTACAAATAAATTTGATGTTCCTTTATCTCTGTTGTTTTTGCAATCCTGATAGAATTGCAAGAAAATTTTAGAACTTATAAAGTGAGTGTAAAACATGAGGTGATACTTTAGTAGCTTCAATTAACTGGGAGAAGATAACATTCTTTTATCCTGAAGATGGAAGTAGCATATTTCTTGGATATGATGATGAATTCTTACCAGACTAAACAGCGTCACATCCCTGAAGATAGCATTCTTATTATTTGTTTATGTTCTGCTGTTAGAATTCATATGAGCTATGGCTACCCATTTTACTTGTATTCTTTAAAGGAGAGTGATTATTGTGTGTACACCTACTTTAACATTTAAAATCTTGGAATTTTCCCCCACTGTATTATACATGTTGTATGTTTTGTATGACTTTCAGAATACACAGCTATTTTTTCCCTATGTGTGAACCACCCATACTCTAACACACAACTTCACCAGTCTAACAGACAACAGACAACTCCCACCTCATGTCATGCTGCGATTGATGGTCAGTCAGTCTGTCTTTTTGTCGAGCCCCAGCATGTTACTTTTTAAGTGAAACTTACTGTCCTGTCCATGTGGGGTGCCCTCTCTTACAAGAGGTCAGGTCTGTCATTTGTCAGTCATAGTCGACAGTATTAGTCCATTGTCACTATGCACACTTATTTACAGTTAAATCTTAATATCTAGTATGTATAATATATACAAGGCTCTGTCAGTCTAGGCACACCTCGTAACAGGACAAGGTAATATTTATATATTGCTAGCAATCTGGCTCTCTGGAGACCAACACAAGCGCTAGTCATTCAGCGCTCATAGTTGGAGATCTGCCCAGTGGTAATGGTAGAAAAATGGGGGCCTCCAACTGGCTTATCATCCGTCACATGCTTCACTGCAAGTGCAAGCAACAACACAGATCTAGCTCTCCAGTAAACAGCGCTGAGACATCAGATTCTACCAGCGTGTGCACCATAGCGCCTAGCCAGCCAGACTCGCCGCTATCCTGCCCGCTCGTAACCACTGAGAGGCCATAGAGAAGACCTGGGCTGCTACTAAGAAGACACAGCCATACAAACGTCCCTTTTCAGGGCCTGCAATTTTCACCTTCACTGCCAGGCCGAACTGGCCGCGGCAAAAGGAGTCTGCACCAGTACTCTTCAGACACGTTCCCGGCTCGTCTGTAATATATGTTTTAAGTGTGATGGACATTTGTGTTTGTAGTTTGAAGTGGTTGTCTCAGCAAACATTGACATCCCACACCTGAATAGCTTACAGTTGGTCTCTGTAATGGAAGTCTCCCAGTAGCCAATTCTATGTGAGATAAGAACTGAATTTTTAAATGTTATTTTGATTACATTTGTGCTTCACAGTGTTAATGTTTGTCTAAACACTAAATTGGATTTCTTTCTGACTCATTCACTCAGCAGCCTTCAGGGCAGTTTTTCATGCTTTCTGTAACATTTAATCTGACGGACAGAAGGCTGCCCTGTGCGGGCTGCAGCATGAAAGTAAGCCTTTACAATGTCCTGAGCAGGTCAAAAATGCATTGTCTATTAGACTAACTATATTCCAATTTTACATTTAATAAAATGCAGTGATAATTTCAGATTATGACATTTGTTCTAATGCAAGGTGGGAATTAGGTGATGTTAAGTACTGTCAGTTTTAGACAACCAGTGAGAGTTATCAAAAAGAGGTTGAGACTGAAATGAACCTGTTGCTCTCAAATTGGAGTGATACCACTCTTCAGATGTAAATGCTTTATGCACACTCCACATTTCAACATTCTGTTTCATAATACCTCTTTATGATTTATACACAGTTCACATAGCAGTAGCAAATTAATAGATAAATTTGACGCAACAGATGTTACATCCATAAATTACTTGTTGTAATAAAATGTCATATGTTAAAGAAATACATATTGGAAAATATGGTTAATTTCTGAAAATCTTTGTGAAACTCTAGATCACTTATCTTCAGCCTACATTTTAATCAATACACTTTGTTCTGTATATATTATATTATCTGGTATCTGTGAATCTTCATATATTGTTTTTCATTCATCACTAACATAATATTCATTTATGTTCATTTCTGTACTTTGAGAGGAGCAAGACATGTGGATTTACAAATACATTTACTTTTCCTTTAGATAAATATATTAATTCAATGTAATGTTACACTCCATTTACCAGAATTGATATAACAATGTAGGCCTCTGTTAAAATGAAGTTATTTACCATAACACCAGTTAGAAAAATAGTTCATCATATACAGATCTATCCTAACATATTAATTCAGTGGACACAGTGAAAATCATCACAACCATTACAGACATCTACAATGCAATGCACAGAACTTGAATATAACATAAATTATATATACATACAGGTAGACCAGGATCTCCACGTTCTCCTTTGCTTCCTGGTTCACCTTGTGCTCCCTGCAAAAGATAAAAATCAACATAGCTTATAACAGTATTTTCATTATCATGGACAAAACTCAAAGATATATCTGCCTTCATTTACAGGAACTTCAAGCAGATCATGCAAAGAATCAACCATAAAGCAGTTATAAAATAAATGATATTTGAATATTTCTACAACTGACTCCCAAGTATATAGCATCTCATTATAGTACTATAAACTGTCTTCCAAATTTGGTAATGACACATGCATTATGTTGAAAAGATTTACAGTGTGTAAAGCATTGAAGAGCTCCTTCTGAGTGTTCATTTGTATAACATTTACTTCCACTCTTTCTATTTGCTTATATGAAGAAGATCAGAAAAGATAATTTTCACAACACGCTTCTATTATACAGGCCAATGTAATAATGGCTCCAAACTTACAACTATAGTTGAATCTTATAGACGAGTACTATATGTAAGTCCATAATGGTTAATCTGTCTATAATTTTATATACATACTATATTAATTTTAAACTGTTACCTAAAATATGTGAGATCAGTTTACAGTAGCTTTTCATGCAGAGTTAGTTGCATTCAATTTGTAACTGGAAAAATAAGAGCATACCTTCATTCCATCAAGACCAGATGGCCCCTAAAGAACAAAAAGAATAAAATCAAAAAAAGACGAATTTAAAAATACATAATTGTTATACAAGCTTTCTGACATAAAACCAGTCAACAGAAGTATGCAAATAATCATACATAAAAGATATTTAAGATATATATTTCACATAAGCACAGTGGTGGTGGCAGCAATAATATAAACTATGCACACACACTCATGATGAAACATTTTATATCCCTTGCTTTGGGAATTCAAAGTGTCAATTTGAACTCTCTTGTAACCAGCAGCGCTCTTTTCCCCTTACAATAATATTTAATACAACACACACTGAGCCTGTATTCCTATAATATATTGCCACATATAAAATGCCTTGTGTAACAGGATGGTATAAAATAAACCGTGTTTGTGGGTGAATGTCATGAAAAATGGACGAGTCCACTCAAAGGATTAATTTTTGACCACACTTAGGATGCCTAAAGACCTGCTAAATAAATGCACAAGCTCTTATGTCTATAAATGCCAGTCAGAATTTCCTAAGTTGTCATGCTGTCTGGTGTATCAAAGCACAACACATAACCAATGCAGTATCAGAGGAGTGCAAGTCCGTTTGTACTAATCATTTACTGAAATTTAGACAGTTTGGTTTGTTCACTGATGGCATTTAACATCTGGATACTCAGACATATCTTCTAAGTGACAGAGGAAAACTATCAGAAGCTAGGCGTACATGGAATTTTACAAGTGACAATATGAACTCACACCACATTCTGAACACTTGCATATTGTCTACTGCTGGATATTATACCTGACAAGGCACGTTTAATCCATCAGTACTAACTATGACATGTTCACATTTTGTAACTGAAGCAAAAATCATGATCTAAGATCCTCAAGCAGCAATCTAACAGTAATGTCACAGAATGACAAAGCTTTCATCTGGGTTTTTGCATAAAGTGCCTCACAAGAGGTTGCTTGGTAGGCAGTTTCTTAACAGAAATACTGTAATTTTCTAGATTACAATTTTGGTTCTGGTTAAACTACAGGGTACCTATAAAACTGTCCAATTTGATGCAGATGTTGACTTTATTAAAGAATAAGAGAATTTTTCAGTCACTGTAATAATGATTGTTGATTATTTTTATACTTCGCATCCTGTTGTGAATATGTAGTCAAGACTTAGGTAATGTCAGACAACACGTGATATTTTGGTTGGCATTAAATACCTAACCAACTGTATGCACACTTATCCCATTACAAATGAAAGCAGAAAATGGGAACTGCAACAAATAAAAGCCATACTACAAAATAATAATTATCCCACAAGCATACTTCAAAACAAAACAAACCAGACCAATCATCCTGCACCAAGAAAAAAAAAGTAGGCCATCTTCATATACGTCGGGAAAGAAACTAGGGTCATCACTAAATTATTAAAAAACACAAACATATGTATATCATTCAAAGCCACCAACACAATACAAAGACATTTAAAACCAAAAACACTCTTAACAGACACCTTCGATAACAGCAAAATTTATCAACTAAAATGTAACGACTGCACCCTGAAATATGTTTGACAGGCAGACAGAGAATTTCAAACATGATTCAAAGTATACCAGCTATAAGAACCAACAAACTGAACTCTAGATGCACCCAACACATAGTAGTTCAATTTTACATCATGTCTATTTCAAAGTCACATTAAAATATATTTCATATTTCAGAAATTCAACTCACATAAAAGCAAATGCAGCACACACATCCCCTACACACTAAATACCCATATTCAGAGTAGTCTACCATATAGGCTGCGACATAGCTCAAGCGGTTAGTCGCTGGCTTCCCACCGTGGTGGACCGGGTTCGATCCCGGGTCTGGTCAAGTGGGATTTGTGGTGGACAAAGTGGCGCTGGGGCGGGCTTTCTCCAAGTACTTCGGTTTCCCCTGCTAATCTTCATTGCACAAAATTTTCCATCATCATAATCACCCAGGGCAGGCTACAATAGGCCAATCAGTGGCCGCCGTGCCAAGTGGACCCAGTTGGACTCCACCCCCCACTAAGAGAATTAAAAAATTAAGTCTACCATACATATATATACAGAGTGCCATACTTCAGGAGCGTACTGAGGGTTCCCTAAAGAATAACTTTGAAATAGGAACCCAAGTCCGCAAACGTAAAATAGCAGTGCTAGGTGGGCATTTAATATCATTTTGTTTAAACTTGGCGCCTCAGTGTTGAACTGCATTGCATAGAGGAACAGCCATCCACCAGCACTCGTGCCATTGCCAAGATTGTAGGGATATCAAAATCAAGTGTTTGGAGGATCCTGCAGGACCAACAACTTTATCCGTATCATCCAACGCGAGTACACGACATAGGTTCAGCTGACTTCGTACCATGAGTTAAATTTTGTCAGTGGATACTGGACCAGTGTTTACATCAGCCCAACTTCCTGAATCATGTGTTATTCACAGACGAAGCACAGTTTACAAGGGATGGCTGGTTCAACTGTCAAAGCAGCCATGTTTGGGCTGATGAAACCCCCAACGTTACTGTAGTTGGTTACCACCAGGTGCAATTTTCTGTCAATGTCTGGGCGGGCATCATTGGCATTCACTTGATTGGGCCTTTCCTCCTACCACCACGACTCAATGGGCCCTTATACAAGGTGTTCCTGGAACACATCCTTCCAACTTTGTTAGAAGATGTGCCACTGATTGTGCAGAGGCAAATGTGGATAGCGCATGATGAGCACCGACACACTTCAGCATTGTATCACGAGACTATCTGGATGCTGCTTTTCATGGTCGTTGGATAGGAAGAGGAGGCCCAGTGCCTTGGCCAACCCAATCTCCAGACTTGACACCTCTGGACTATTTCGTCTGGGGCCATATAAAAAGCCTGATCTATGACATGCCTGTAGATAATGAATTTGAGTTGTTGGCCACAATACTTGTTGCATGTGACATGATTCGTGGGACATCTGGAATATTTGAAAGGGTGTGCCAAAGTTTCTTTCGTCGATGTAACACATGCATTGAAAATGGAGGGTGTCAATTCCAACATCTACTCTAGCAGGTGAGTCTTAAGAGTTTGGAGGGGGTAATATGCCTGTGCATGCTCTTCGACATTGAGGCGCCAAGTTTAAACAAAATGATAATAAATGCTGCCCTAGTGCTGCTATTTTACGTTTACGGACATGGGTTCCTATTTCAAAGTTGTTCTATAGGGAACCCTCAGTACGCTCCTGAAGTATGGCACCAAACTCCTGGGACACTCTATATATATAAAATCTGTACCAACACCAGTATCACATGAAAAATATGAAACAAAATCTCATCCACTTTTCATTGCAGGAAATCAAAAACATACTGATCAACAATGGCATATATCCAGTACTGCAAAACCTGCAATACTACACAATAAAGGTATATAATAGGTCAGTCTACACAAAAATAGATCTGAAAAAAAGGAAGACAAAATAGACACTACTGTGTCAACATTTGTTTTATTAGCTGTTGACGACAATGTTACATGTTTCGACCCTTTTATTTGGTCATCTTCAGGCGTACAAGAATACTGGTATTAGTTCCTGAATTGCATCATTCAACAACATGAATTCATATTGTGTTTGTATGAATTTTTATGCTAACAGATACACTTTAATTTAAAGGTAATTGACATATAGTTGAGACTTGATGTTAAAATTTGACATTAAAAAGATAAAAATTAAAATTAAAATGGAAAATTAAAAGTATTTATAATTTATGAGCCGTATTTAAGACTTTGTGATGACTACATATCCTTATATGTGTTGTTTGGCTGATCCACTCTGGTACTGATAATTGTGATGTGGGGTAACTGTGTGCTGGGATCTTTCATCAGAATTTGGTTTGTATTTGTTTTTGACTTCCCTCTTATCGTGTGAAGACTACACTTGTTACTCTGAGTATCACCCTCAGGTTGTTTGTAAGTGGAGCTGAATATTCAAATTTGATGTTGTGCATACTCATATATACAAATATAAATCAGTCCGTCCAATGTGACTTGTAAGTTTATTACTACATGAAAACTTAACACCCTTTTCATGTAGTAATAAACTTACAGGTCACATTGGACGGAGTGATTTATATTTGTAATTGTTGATGTGAGGACCAGAATGAAACAAATAAAAAAAAAAAACTCATATACAGGGTGTCCCAGGAGGAATGTGCCAAACTTCGGGAGGGTGTTCCTTGTGTTAAAGTATGCCGATATAACCCAAAACACCTATGTCCAAAGTTGAACGGTTACGGAGATAATGGCCAGAGAAGAGTGTGGTCTTCTAGCGGGTCCACGGATTATACCTATCAGCTGAGAGGAATTATCTCTGTTTGTCCTTGACTGCCGTGATTCATCCTATCCGTGCTTATGGAGTTGGCTTTATCAGAACGCGCAGTCAGCACGTTACGTCATCGCTTACCATTCATGTGTCATGTACAGTGCTTGGAACTCTTAACGACAACTTTGAGATGGCATGCGAGTTTTTTGTACTTCAATTTTATGGCTTCATGTCACTCACAAGTTAGTTTGATGTTACGTACATTATTAACGTTACAGAATCCACATATTCCTGCCAGTTTTAATATCTATTTTGTAATCAACAAGTGTGTAACCCCGGTCAAAGTTTGACACTTCTCTGGCCATTATCTCCGTAACCGTTCAACTTTGGACATAGGTGTTTTGGGTTATATCGGCATACTTTAACATAAGGAACACCCTCCCGAAGTTTGGCACATTCCTCCTGGGACACCCTGTATACAGTTCCCTGTGGAGGTATTATTACTATGCTCTAGAGTCTCTGTCTGAACAAATATTCTTGTATGCCTGAAGACGATGCAAGAAAAGGGTTGAAATGTGTAGCATTGCCATCAACAGCTAATAAAACAAATGTTTACACACTAGTGCCTATTTTGGTTTTTCTCTTCCCCGGAATTACTGTTGTGTAGACTGCCCATTATATACCTTCTGTATGATACACAACAGG